AACCTGAGCTCGATCTCTAGGCCCATGGTGGAGGAAGGAGCTGACTCCCGGAAGCTGTCCTCTGACCTCCACATGTACACATGTGGCATAGGTGTGTGCATGCATATGCATACCCGCCTACACACACCTACACATATAATGAATGAAATAAAATTTAAAACACATGACCATGATACCCCCTCCATAAACCCAACAAAAGAAAATGAAAAAAAAAACCCAGTAATACAGAAATGGAGTAATGCAGACAGGTGTGGTGGCTTGTGCCTGTAATCTCAGAACTTGGGAGCTGAGGCAGGAGGATTGCCACTACTTAATGGGCTACTTAATGAGTCCCAGGCAACCTGAACTACAGAGTGAGACTCTATTTCAAAAAGAAAAAAAACAACCCTGACCCAAACCCCATTTAACTCAACAATAACTGAGTAATGTAATAAAGGTAGGAGCAGAGAAATAAAGAAAATAGAACTTGTGGTTTCAAAACAAAACAAATAGAGTATGGTAGGTTTAAAAATAACCTTCCTTGTAATTACATTAAATACAAATAAAGAAAATATTCTAATTGAAAGGCAAAGAGTAGGGAAGGTATATGGGCAATACAGGCAAAGAGAAAAGGTAAAGCACAGACAGGCTAGTCAGAGAAAGTCTGTGCATCCTGAGAGACTGTATGGCAAGAAGAATTACTAGAGATAAGCAAGGACATTTCATAATAAGTGGTCAATTCCAATGGAAAATGCAGTCAGTCTAAATTTGGCTGCACCTAATAACAGAACTTGAGAAAAAGAGACAACCCAGTTTTTGAACTTACATGGAATATGTTCAGTGAGCGCGGTTGGAACTGAAGTCAATATGGAGAAATCATTAAAACTTCCATGTTTGCAGGCTTAGCACCATGTAGTATGCACACACATGCACATAAATAAAAATGAATAAACCAAATAAGGTGTGGAGCAAACAAGACATGAAGTGAAAATCGCAAATATTTTTCAATGGCTGAGTACAGTGTATTAAAACATGGAACGTGGAGCCTGGGGCCTATGCTGGGACACTTTGCTCAGCCTTCAGAAAAATAAAATGCAAGAGATGGCAGAGACAGTGGGAGCCATTAGGCCAGGTGTGGTGAGCTACACCTAAATCTGTAGCACCTGGAAAGTAGAGGCTGGCGATTAAGGCCAGCCTTGGTTACAGAGCAAGTTTGAGAATACCCTGGATTACATGAAACCTCTTCAAAAAACTGAAAAACGGGCTTGGAGAGAGAGCTCAGCAGTTAAGAACGCTTACTATTGTTGAAGAGGAACCATTTCAGTTCCCAGCACCCATGTAAGTCCGCACTGGGTGCCTCATAACTGACGTTACTATAGCTCCGGGGATCTGAAGCCTTCTTCCGGCCTCCATGGGCACCTGCACATATGTGTATACGTGCATGTACACATGCACATACATGAATAAAAATTTAAAAAGCAAAGCAAGACAAACAAGCCAAACAAAAATAAACAAAACAAAACACAGGAAGTCACTGACATAGAAAAGAGACAAACAATGTAAGAAGTCCAAGTAAGGAGCCACTGAGCCCGCTCAGTGATTAAAGGCACCTGCTGCTAAGCCTGGACCTGAGTGGCAGACCTACATGGTGGAGGAAGAGGAGTAATTCCTGCAGGTTTACTTCTGTACTTCTGTCTGCTACACACACACACACACACACACACACACACACACACACACACACACACATATACACACACATACACACACATATACACACACATACACACACACACACACACACACACACACACACACACACACACTTGTGTGCCCACACACAAGTAAAAAAGTATAGTGAAGGCAATGTAAATATACATCCACAAGTAGCCTTAGCTATTGGTTACCTTGAAGTGGAGAAATAATACAGGGATTTTTTTTTTTCTGTAGTGGCAAAATCTCAAAAACTTTGTGGCTGAATGAACCTTTCTTTTGTTTTTGAGATGGGTTATTGCTGTGCCTGTGGCCCAGGCTGGTCTTGAATTCCCTGTGTAGCCTAGAATAGGCTTGAAACCCCTATGTTCCTGCTCCTGCCTACTGCATGCTGCGATTAGAGGTGTGGGCCACTCTGTCTGGCCAGGACGAACCTTCTTTTGGGGAACAGTTTACTGCAGCAGGCTGAAGTCAATTAGAGCACTTTTTGATGAGCCTTTAAAGATGGCTTTCCCTTCTAAATTCCAATCTTTGCCTTCAAGCTCCTCTGTTAGCTGCTACCCTGACTTAATACTCTCAGGCTTTTGGGATCTTCATTCTCTACAAAATGCACCCCCACACCCAAAGCAGGGAGGCTGTGGAGCCTAAGAGGAGTGGTCACAGTACCAAGCAGGCTCAGGAGATGTGCAGGGCAGAATGTGAGTCTTACTCATCTGCTGGGGAGACAAGGTGAGTCTCAGGTCAGACACCCTCTGAGGGAACCACTACCATCTACAGGAAGTTGCCGAAGGCCAGGCTCTCTATGCTGCCCTGGGATCCACAGTCCCAGAAACGGAGGAGCAGAAACAACACCAGGTGTTGATACTTGCAAGATTTGGGGTGGCTGGAGACTGAGGTTTTGATGATTTCTGGAAGGGAGGGCTGGTGGGTTGACTGTGGGGGGGAGGCAGAAAAAGAGGGTGCCTTAGGAAGGGGGGTCCCCGGCTCAGGGCCACCTTCAGTCCGCAGGGAGCCTTCTCTTTGGCAAGGCTCTGCAATGCACAGGGAAGTGGGTCTCTTCCTTTTGGTTATTGAGGGCACTGGGTGAGGAAGAGCCGGCAAAGACACACTGATGGATGCAGGATGGACCAGGGGCTCGAGGCAGCGGCACTGTGCCGTCTCTGCTTAGCTGCTGCTGCCGCCTAACAAGCCTTCTCCAGCCAAGCTCAAGGACTTCAGCAGGCCTTCTTGGCTTGGCTTGTGATTCTGAACATCATCCACCTGGTCTGTGCTGAGCTGCGCTGTGGACACCAAACGCTTACTCATGCTTACCATGTAGAGGGCTTCTGAAAAGAGGGGCCAGTTGACTGTGGCTGGGACTCCTATGTTCTCCAGCAGTGCAGGGATGGATGGCACAGGTTCCTCCACACCGGTAGCCCCTGGGTTCTACATGCAGCAAAGAGAAGGCACCCTCAGGGGCCAGCTGTATTTCAGGTATATTCTTGAGTGGTATTTGCACTATTTCAAATAGTCACTCGGCCAAACCCAGACTCAAAGGTTAGGGAAACAGCGTCCCCTTGGGAAAGCACAGAATTCACTGTGTGCATCCAGCACATGGGTCAAGACCGGGCTCTCCAGACCTTGCTCCCATGGGTCACTCTGTGAGAGACAGGCCTCGGTGAGTTTTCTTCCACCATTATATTTGAAAATACAAATACTTACTGTAGGGGTGCATACACACAGACAGACAATAAGCACAGTACAATATACATCCGTGAACTTCCCACCCAGGCTGCAGCTGGGCCACGGACAGTCACTTATTGATTTTTCCCAGGTGCTTTCTGTAGTAGTTTCCATCTCCTCAGGACAGGTGACACTTCGAATTCTGTGCTTTCCATTCCATTGAGAACTCAAAAAATACAGCTCTGAAATCACTGGGGTGGATGCTATCTATATAAGTTACTGCTGAATTTTGCTTGCTTTTCCCCCATGCAGTGATGTCCACTTACTTTTTATTTCTTGAGTTTTTTTTTTTTATTGTGATAAAATACATAGAACGTACGGCTTGACTTTAGCCTCTCTTGGCTTCCGTTTCGGTAGCACGGACCACACCAGCACTGTTGTGGAACCACTGTTCCCAAAACATCTTCACCACCCAACCAGACACATATTAGCCAATAGCTCCCCTCTCCCAGCTTCTGGCAATTTCTTACCTTTAAAAAAATTGTGTGCGCGTGTGTGTGTGTGTGTGTGTGTGTGTGTGTGTGTGTGTACATGCTTAAGGTACATGTGGTTCGATCCACCATGTGGTTTCTGGGAGTCAAACTCAGGTCATCAGGCTTGGCAGCAAGCGCCTTTACTCACTGAACCGTCTTGCCAGCCCCTTTCTCTGGCAGTTTCTAATCTACTTTCCACCTCTCTGAGTCTCTCTTTTGGCCAATTCCATTTAGTAGGTTTCCAAGAATACGATAGGATTACGACAGGAGGCATCAATCGACTCGATTCTTTTCTGTAGGTGGATAATATTTTCTTTCATGTCTAGATCACCTTTTGCAATCTTCTGTTGATGGACACCTGGGCTGTTTCTACCTTTTGACCACTGTGGTGATGTTGCAGTGAGCATCACCAGAAAGCCTCTTGTTTCTGTTCCTTCTGGTGTACACCTTACCTTCTTGTGTGACAAAATTTTTCCTGGGGAGATGCAACACACACGTCTACTCACCCCAGATAGGGATCCCATGACAGACCAAAGTATGCATACCACTAAAGTCCAACTTGGTGAGCCAATTGGGGTCATTGTGGGAGCCCACAACTGACTCAGTTTCCCAGTTTGAATCTGAAGTCTATTCTGAGTCAATAGATTTCAGGCTTGTTTGCTCCAAGGCTGTGAGAAAGTCCTGATTAGCCCAGAAGAAGGAACACACTATCTAGCTAGATGTGGGCTGCTGATGCCAGCCAGAGGTATATTGAGATAGAAAAAGAAACTGCCTGCTCCTTGACGCAAAGCAGGATAGATAGTGGTTGAATGCCTGTGCTGTGCGTTGTTCTACCTCTGTCCTTCAAAACTGTATATAGGCTGGCTGTGAAATAAACTCGGGGCTGTCCAGCATTGACTCTTTTCTGTCTTCTTCATTGTCTCTTCAATCTACACGCCTCTCTACCCAGCTATCGGGCTGACTGTCGGCAGGCTCCGACAGGTCACTTACAGGAATATTGATGAGAGGTTACTTACAAGAGCAGAAAAGACATCTGTATTACCAAAGCCCACTCTAAACTGGGTGGCATCTCAAAAAAAAAAAAAAAAAAAAAGCTAGGAACCTGGAGCACACTGCACAGCCTGAAGGTCTCTCAACAGGTTGGAGAGTGTCTTTTCCAAGTGACTCTGGTCTAAACCTCTTCCAGGCAGCCCAGCTGGTTTAGATTTCTCCAGGTAGCTGATCTGGTCTTAGTGACTTCTTGGCAGCTTTATTGTTTACTCTGGCAGAGAGGGGCCTAGTGAATCCGGTCAGTTTCAGGGACCTCCTGAAGTTATTTTGAGTTGTTTATTTTCCTGCTTAGCATCTCTGAAGTATGGGATGTTTCAGTCTGGGTGGGGGGACTGTTGCACAACACACCTGAGGCACACAGTAATTCTGTTATTAGCTTTTGGACAGAGCATGGAGCTACCTATGCCTTGGAGTATGCCCCATTCTACATTCCCACTGCAGTGCATGTGGGTCCCAATGTCCCCACTTCTTCCCTAACTCTTGTTTTGCTGTAGGAGACCTATTATGAGAAATCCACAGAGTCTGCTTAAAGGGTAAAGGAATTTATTAGGAAGGAAGGCTCACTACAGAACAGGAGATTTATCATAGGGTCCTGGAAGGCCAAGGTACAGTCGTACGCTGTTCTTCTGCCTGAGTCTGACCCCGCATCCAAGCCCACAAGGGAAAGCAGAGAGAGGTGAGGCCTTAAGGGTAGCCCTGAATTATGTATACGTGTGTGTGTCTGTGTGTCCTGCATGTGAGGTCAGAGGCATTGGGTACCCTGGGCCTCAAATCTTAGGCTGTTGTAAGACACTTGATCCTGGGAACTGAGCTCAGGTCCTCTCAAAGAGCAGCAAGTGCTCTTAACTGCTGATCCATCGATCTAGCCTTGCTTTTTCATGTTCTTGATATTGTCTGTGATTTGGGTGTCATATTTAAAAATCCTTTACCAAATTGTGCTTGGTTTTGAGCTTTATAAGAGCAGTATTATTCCCAATGCAATCTTCTGCTACTTTGTGCTGTTTTCATAATTCTTCAATTATCTCTCTTCTCTGTTGTCCAAGCATTTTCATGGCTTTACAGTATTCCATTGTGTGACCACCCCACACATTAGTAACCAGTTCCCTGTTGATAGGTATCTGTGCTCTTCCTAGTTGTTTTGATATTGCATCGATGCCACTGTTAACAGCCCATTTGATTCTTTGGTATGATTTAATTAAAAAACAGCTAACTTTTTTTCAATTAGTGAAGACATTTAGATTGAGTTGCTATGTTGAACTGAAGAGCATACCAAGGCAGGTATTTGACTGAAACATTGATGTTTCTCAGCTGCCTATTTTGACTAGCAGCTGGGCTATGAAGCCACAGGAAGTCCTGCTATTGAGCTTGTTCTGTGTCTACACTACCCACGTGGTGTGGTTATCTACTAAGAGCAATCAGAGACACAACAGGCTCATTTCACTGATTTTAAGTTGGAACATTTAGCAACAGCAAGATGTCCACACAGGTTGGGGAGTAACTGTGAAATGGAAACCCTTTCTTTACCTGCTCTCCCTGAGTGAGGTTGCAGGGGTGCCTACACTGAAGTGTTGATCTTGAAATGATTCCAAGAAAACTCTGGAGTGAAAAGCCAGCATGAGGGTCCCATGTCAATCTGTACTACAGCTTTAATCACTCTTGAGGTTGGAGAGCAACGGGCCAAGACACAATAAACGCAGTCTACTGATTGCAGTTTCCAGAGCTTTCCACAATCAGGAAGGAGATGTTCATTCACACTTAGGTAGCATGAATGAGAAAAGGGAACTCTTTAGAGTCCCAGCTAGGTCGGGTCACAGGGGTGTCTAAAAGGGTTTGAAATAACTCAAAGAAAGGTTTAATAATCCCCTCCAAAAAATAAAGTGTCACCCTGACAGCTCCTCTTCTCCATCCCACCCTCTGGGGGTTCTCCAGTACTGTGGTGAGTGGGAGGGGTCATGAAGTTGCCAGATTTCTTCATGATTTGAAAAATAACACCATGGCAGAGGAAAGCATGAAGCAAGAGTTCAACTCTTGACAGGGGTTTGGTTTGTGGTTTGATTACTGGAACAACCAGTGACCTTGGCTGACATTGTGCAAACACAGAATTGGAAGAGAAGGAGGTGGGGTAGGACCTTGAAGCATAAAAGGCTCAGCAGAAGTCACCACGGCACAGACCTTCCAGAGATCGGCAAGAGAGGCCCAAGATGAGGTGAGTCCACAGTGCACATCTCACACTTGGAGCACTCAGTGTAGAAGTCTGTGGGAGGGTACAAAAAAGCAATGGGGTCATTGGGCTAAGGTTCTAGGCAAGTCAAGCCCATGTACTGCAGGCCACATGCTGCTGAGGATAGCTGTGAATTCATGCAGCTCCATACAAAACTATAAATTTACTTATAGCATTATGAAATCTACTTTTCTTTCTTCCTTCCTTCCTTTCTCTTTCTTTCTTTCTTTCTTCCTTCCTTCCTTCCTTCCTTTCTCTTTCTTTCTTTCTTTCTTTCTTTCTTTCTTTCTTTCTTTCTTTCTTTCTTTCTTTCCTTTCTCTTTCTTTCCTTCCTCCTTCCTTTCCTCCTTCTTTCCTTCCTTTCTTTTTCCCCTTTTTTTGCAACTTAATTGTGCAGTTTGAGTTGTGAATTTTGTAGGTGACAAAGTCATGCTGAAATGTTAAAGGCAGGATGTGCCTGGAACCTCAGTGAGTAAAGGGCCAGTGACTAAACTCCTCCTCCTGCATCCATGAGAGATGGGCTTTCAGATGGGTTGTCTATCTCTAAGGAGACCCTTTCCCCTTAAGATTATAAAGGTTTTGTTTTGTCCAGGTACAAAGCAGCTTCCTGGAATATGTCTGTTAACTATGTCTGTTAACAGACGTCCTGCTTTTAAAGAAAGAAAGACAATGTCACACATTTTAGTGACACCATCAAGGCACTCAGATTTTATCAAAATAGAGAGATTTTGAAGGTTGAGAAAAAAACTAGAAGTAGAACATCACCAAGAAATTCCTTACTGGCCGGGGTCTGCTGGGATTTGGTTACCTTTTAAGTGTAGTCTGGGCACCAGTGATGGCCACAGTCATGCCTTTAGGAAGCCAGTTTTCTCCAGGTAACCATCTGGCATTCTTGGGTTTGATATACCACCCTTGAAAGGCAAATACAAAGTAACAGGAAGAGCCATACATGAGTTAGGGGTGATGGTGCATACCCAGTGACTCTAGAAGCTGAGGTAAGCTGAGCCTGGGAATTCAGGAGTTTGTGACAAGCCTGGGCAACAAGTGAGGCTGTGTCTTAGGAACAACAGCTATGACAAATTATACACTAAAACAAGCTTTTAGTTATGGGAAATTTCAAAAAGCAGTGAGAATAGCAAAATAAATCATAGCCATCATCTTTAGTTAGCTACAATGTACTAACAGTGTCTTCATAGCCCAGCACTTCACGGATGTGAGGCGGAGGCGTCTTGCTGGACATCACGATCATCACGAGAGAAGAGGCTCACAGCTCTGTACCTCCTCTCCACTCTGTTCCTCTTTTCTCAACCCACCTCCCTCAGGTTTTTTTTTTTTTTTTGAGACAGGCACTTGTGATGTAGCACAGGCTGATCTCAAACCCCCGATCCTCCTGCCTCTGCCTCAGAGGGTGGAGAGTTGGGATGGCATATATGCTACCACACTGGTGGTGCCTTCCTTCCTCTGTTACGGTCGTCCCTGTCTGAAGCTTGTCCAGAACTCCCAGTGTCACAGAACTTGCTGGTGTGTCTGGAATTTGCTGAAGCCTGCGGGGTCTAATAATCCCCTCCAAAAAATCAAGTGTCACCCTGACAGCTCCCCTTCTCCATCCCACCCTCTGGGGGTTCTCCAGTACTGTGGTGAGTGGGAGGGGTCATGAAGTTGCCAGATTTCTTCATGATTTGAAAAATAACACCATGGCAGAGGAAAGCATGAAGCAAGAGTTCAACTCTTGACAGGGGTTTGGTTTGTGGTTTGATTACTGGAACAACCAGTAATGCAGCTCCTTGGCCTTAGCATTTCATTCTCTTTCTTTACTAGCTGCTTAATGAAAGTGTGTGTGTGTGTGTGTGTGTGTGTGTGTGTGTGTGTGTGTGTGTGTGTATACATCTGTGTGGTATGTGCACACATGCGCATACACACACAAGGAAACCACATGTACAAAGAGACCACCTCTACACTCCTTCTTGCCACCTTTCTGCAGAGCCCTGGGAGCTATTGTCACGCTCCTGCTGTGGGGACAGCTTTTAGCTGTGGACTTGGGCAATGACGCCATGGATATGACTGGTGAGTCTCTGGGTTTTCCCAGGAACTATGCACCCCGGCTGTGCCCCAGTCTGGCCCTATCAAAGCTGCACTGTGTTAGGGAAGACCTGGTTCCTCTTCCTGTTCTCTTCTTCCCCATATCTGTGGGGCCTCCCTTCCTCAGCTTCCACTCGGGGGTGGAGGGAGTCTGGTGTGCAAGGCAGCTCCTCTTGGCTGACTTTTCCTAGGGAGCCACCTGAATATCCATGGCATTTACTGGCTTCTTTTTGCTTGGCAGATGACAGCTGCCCAAAGCCCCCGGAGATCACAAATGGCTACGTGGAGCACTTGGTTCGCTATCGCTGCCGCCCACACTACAGACTGCGGACTGAAGGAGATGGTAAGGCCTGGATGAGCATCTCTCCCTGCACACCCCTGGTCCTGTCTGGTGTTCCTGTGATGGAGAGGGCTGGGGTACCTGGCCAGAAACTTCATGAGTATTGCCTGGAGCCAGGAGAGTTAGATTCGAATCAAGTTTCTGTCTTCTGTTGGTGGTCCTGCTGCCGACTAAGTGGGCTCAGCTTCCTGTTTTGTTTTGTTGAGAGGCAGCAACCCCATGGCCCCTGTGGCTTGGGAGTGCCGTCTTCACCTATGGTATTGGGCAGACTACTATGTTCTGACAGTTTCTAAGGACTTCACTGTTAAAGCTCCTGTGGTTCTGATAGGATCTTTTTCTGGAGAGATACTCATAGTTTCATTTTTCTGACAAGGAAACAGGCTGAGGTAGTCTGTGAGAGGCAGAGCCCCTGACTTCTTCCTCTCCTATAATGCCATTGGCCATGACTGACTCCTGGCCTGCCAGGCACAACGTGACCCGAGGCACAGTACTCTGGGCCGGCCTTCCCTCCCGTTCCTCCAGCTCTTTAAGCCTTCTTGATAGACGTCTCCTCATGCTACCCCGGGGCCAGACTTGCTTTCTCTGAGCTCGTCTCCTCCTTTGTTTCAGGAGTGTACGCCTTAAACAGCGAGAAGCAGTGGGTGAACGCAGCTGCCGGAGAGAGACTCCCCGAATGTGTGGCAGGTGGGTGCTGGGGTCTTGGAACACGGGCAGGGATTGAGGCTAGAATGTGGCCGCGCCACGTTCCGCTTGTGTGGCCTGAATATGTGAGAGCCAAGACAGAGGTCGGAGAACCACAGCCGGCAAGGCAGGGGCAGGATGCCTCTCAGAGAGCTTAGGAAGCGTCCTGCTCATTTAGGTAGGGGGGCTGGTCCTCCATACAGAACACCTGCTTACAGAGGCCTGTTCAGAGGTAAAATGAATGCCCCAGGCTAGGACAAATGAAGGACCAGGCTAGGGTGGACATACGCTGAGCCCACAAGGGGTAAGGCAGGGTATGGGGCCGTCTGGGACCCCTGCAATCCATAATTCTCCCCTCTTCTGCCTGGATGAGGACTTTGCTCAATTCCTACTATCAGTGGCAGGAACTGCCAACCTCTTTTGGGCTAACTTCACCATCCATAAAAAAGTCTATGTTCCTGCTAACGCTGCCGCGGGGCCATCTTTGTCAGAAAATGAAACACACACAGCTTCCAGCCCTTTCCCTGAGTTTCAGAGAATTGTGGAATTTTTGTGTGATGATGTTTACGTATGTATGTAAGTAGGTATATATATATATATATATTTATATAGTAGTTTATCAGCCACGGTTTAAAACAGATTCTCAGTCACTTAATGTGTAAGTACTAGAAATGAGGAGCAGGAGGCAAGGGCAGAATGTTCGGACACTGTTGGGTGTAGCAGCAGCAGTGGCTGATGCTTCCAGGGCCTCCGCAGGTAGGGCCCGCTCCCCACTGCCGTTCACATTCCTCCCTCCCTGTGCAGAGTGTGGGAAGCCGAAGCATCCTGTGGACCAGGTGCAGCGTATCATAGGTGGTTCTCTGGATGCCAAAGGCAGCTTTCCTTGGCAGGCCAAGATGGTCTCCCGCCATGAACTCACCACAGGGGCCACACTGATCAGTGACCAGTGGCTGCTGACCACGGCCAAAAACCTCTTCCTGAATCACAGTGAGAACGCGACAGCCAAGGACATTGCCCCTACCTTAAAGCTCTACGTGGGGAGACAGCAGCAGGTGGAGATTGAGAAGGTAGTTGTCCACCCCAACCGCTCTGTGGTGGACATTGGGCTAATCAAGCTCAAACAGAAGGTGCTTGTCAATGAGAGAGTGATGCCTATCTGCCTGCCGTCCACGGACTATGTAGCCACGGGCCGCATGGGCTATGTGTCTGGCTGGGGGCGGAACGCCAACTTTAGATTTACTGATCGTCTCAAGTACGTCATGCTGCCGGTGGCTGACCAGGACAGCTGTGTGCAGCACTATGAGGGCAGCACAGTGCTCGAGAAGAAGGTCCCCAAGAGTCCTGTTGGGGTACAGCCCATCTTGAATGAACATACCTTCTGTGCTGGCATGACCAAGTTCCAGGAAGACACCTGCTATGGTGATGCTGGCAGTGCCTTTGCCATTCACGACCTGGAGCAGGACATCTGGTATGCAGCCGGGATCCTGAGCTTCGATAAGAGCTGTTCTGTAGCTGAGTATGGGGTGTACGTCAAGGTGAACTTCATCCTGGACTGGATTCAGGAAACCATGGCCAGTGAATAATGCAGGGCTGACGGGAAGGCTATGCTCAGACAGACAGGCTGAGAGCATGTCACCATGGACGAGGGGGCGGTGTAGGGACAGGACATAATCTGAGGGGTGCTAGCCCTGCACTGCTCAGTCAATAATAAAGAACTTGCGTATGACCCATTTGTAGTCTTTGATTCTCATTTACAGTACTGGGTGGCCAAGAAGCATGGTGGACTGGAAAAATGTGACACCCGCCCCCACCATCCCGAGGTGCCAGAAAACCCCTAGGGTGCTGTAGACTGTCTGTCTTGGGGCATCGTGTTTATGAAATCCAGGCCTAAGGGAGATCACTGTGACCCTTGCTTTTCAGTCAAGGAAAAAGACTTGGAGAAGTGAAGTGCTTTGGTTAAACTCACTCAGCTATTTAACGAAGGAGCTGAACTTGATCCTGGGTCTGCTTGGATGCAAACCCTGGGCTCATTGAATGTATCTCGTCACTTCTCTGAAGAGGAAGGGGTGTGAGCTCAGAGTGGGACAAGGGTTGTGACCTTCTGTTTGTGCTTCCATCTGCCAGTGCCCCAGAAACCAAAACAGGCACATGCAGGCAGGCTATGGGCTTACGGGGTCCTCACCACAGCTCAGTCCACAGATTTGCTCAGTAACTTAAGCTCTTTTCCATTAGGGATGAACACTAGTAACTCTCCAGAGTCCCCTGGCTGGGATGCTCTGGGACTTGGCTGAGTTAGGGTCTCTTCCACTGGAGAAACTCACCCTGCACTGGGGGCTGGAGACAAGCCACATGCCCTTCTACCTCAGAAATAAAGGAGTCGAGGAAGAGACATCAGGCTTTCCTCTCTGAACACTTCCTTGTCCCAAGCCTTCAGAACAGGCCTTCTCTAGTCTACCTTCTCATCGTGCCAAACACAGCCTCTCTTCAAGGCCTGTAAGGCCACCAGGGATGTGCTCACCTGCATCCCCAGTCACTGGTGCATCTCTCCAGGGGGCGCTATGGGGCCAAGGGACACAAGGACCTATGTTCTAGAACCCGGGAGAAACCAGCCAGAAACTCGGACAGCACAGTCCTGTACTTACACACGCCAGACAGCAGGTGGCTGGCCACTCCCTAGGAGGGGAATGGGAAACCTGGCCCTTCCTCCATTGCTTGGTCCCTCCATAGCAGGCCTCCTGCCTGCTCCCCAGCAAGGCTTCTCCTTTCCTGCACAGGGACTCCCTCTTCTCCCCCCAGAGACCATTCTCTGTCCAGGAGTCATTTAGAGTTACATGATATCTAGCACAGGACAGGGCATGTAGCACATGCTTAATAAATACTGGTAGAAGTGAAAGCAACCAAGATAGGAGCTAAAACATAAATTCAGACTGCAGGGGCCCCTCGCCCTCACCCCAGCCCTCAGGAAGAAAGATGGAAGTATTCTTCCCGTGCGGGTTCTGAGATTTTGCTGGCACCTGAGCACTTAGCCAAAGCACAGAAGACCTGTTGGATAGGTTGAGTTGGACAAAGAAATTTTATTCTTCCATAGGATGTAGAGGAAGGTTTAGAGTTCACCTAGGAGATCAGGAACATTAGAGACCTGACCCTTACGATCCCCGTGCACTAATTTTCATCCCGTGGGCCTAAGGTGGCTGCCATAGCCCCATCTATCACAAGGATGGGAAAGAACTCTTTTCCCATCCCTGAAGTGTTCTCGGCTTTAAGTGGAGGACATGAAAAACCCTGAACACCTTCTTCCTGTGCCACATCCATCAGAATCAGGTCTCATTTCACTTTTCCAGGATGGACAAGCTTAGAAAGACGCAGCTGACAACAGGGCTGGCCCCAAGGTGACCATGCTGCCACAACAAGCCTGGATCTCTGCAGGTGACAAGTCTTTGCTGCCCAGCAGGTCACAGGCTGCTTGCCCACAGACCTCCAGCTCTGACCTACTGTCTTGTTCCAGAGTGTCAGGGATAACAGCCACCATGAGGTTTAAGAGAAACACAAGTTTCCTGAGGTTGGGCCAGGGGCACCCTGGAAGGTCAACTAGTCTTCAAAAGCTGCGGGAATCAGCAAACCCCACAGGCTTTTCCCCCTCAACAATTCTGATAGACCTTTGGTCTTGAGTCCTTGAAATAAGCGATGGTGGCACTGTCTTCTGGGGAGTTCTGTCCCTTACTTCCCAAGGAAGTAACTTGTTGTTTAGCTTAAACTATGCTGGATGGTGAAGGGTCACATTTTCCTCTTGCCAATTTAATAGCCTGCCAGTTGTAAATGAGCCACCCACAGGGCAGTGGTTTCAGACCATGCCAGGAAGGTTCCGAAAACAAAAGAACTCTCCTGTACTATAGAATGTTCATTATTTCAAGAAAAGCTGGGATAGGAAGGAGCAAAAGGGGCAAGTGAATGGAGGCGTGGGAAGGATGTGTGTGTGTGTGTGTGTGTGTGTGTGTGTGTGTGTGTGTGTGTGTGTGCGCGCGCACGTGTATGTGCATAGACATGTAATCAAACTGTTCTTACAGTGTCTAGGAGGATGCATGACCTTAAGGGGGAAAGACAAGTCTAGATAAAAGGAAGTTACAAAGACCACCCGAACACTGTTGCCCGACTGCTCTGAGGCTCTCAGGGAATGAACACTCAGGCATCCGGATTCTTGGAGTACTGGGGCTTCTGTGCAGGGGCCGTTGATTACAACAAACACATCAAACCGCTTTGCAGGGCCAGTGAATGTGTCTCTGCGGGACTCCAGACCACAGGCCCTCTGGGTTCAAGTCCTGTTTCCAGTCACAACTCTTTCATCTCCAACAGCCGTGAGCGTGCTAAATGTCTTGATAGAGGAGGTCATATTTGGGGATATTCTTGGGATCAATAGGACTCTGGACAATAAGTTTCCCCCTCATTGCTCCCCGGTAGATGACTTCAATCAAATCCATGAAGTCTTGTTTGGTTTTGAAGCTTCCCACAAATTTAGTGTGATCGGGAGACCTGCAGCACAGAGGGAAATAACCATGGTCAGAGCTTTCCAGTGTGTGAAGCCTGCATGGTCAGCAGTAAGCAGTGGCCTCGTTCTCTCTTCTTGTCTGGGAAGCTCTCCACCTGTGGTCTGACCACTGCCTTTCCCCAGGTACAGTACACAGGACTATATGCAGGGCTGTGACCAAAGTCTGGGTGTGGGAAGACCCTGCCTTTGCATCCCTTTCCACATCACTACCATGTAGAGTTCTCTGAGTACTGGAGCAGGCAGAGTTTGCTCGGTGTCTCTGTAAAAGCCCATTAACTAATCACAGTCTCTCAAGTTCTCCTCACCGACAATGCTGAGTTGTGGGGATTAATAACCTTACAAATTATTTTAAATATCAGGTATATTGCTTGCAGAAAAACTTAAAAGAGAAATAAAGTCAGCTGTGAGGCCAGAAGTCACCTTTTGATGTATACCTTTCCAGTTCTGCGTAGGGGTGCGTATTCTATTTATTTTGTTAAGATAAGAATCATGTCATGGGGTTGAGGATTTAGCTCAGTGGTAGAGCACTTGCCTAGCAAGCACAAGGCCCTGGGTTCGATCCTCAGCTCAAAAAAAAAAAAAAAAGAAGAATCATGTCACAAACTATTTAGTAATGTGATTTTACAACTAATTATTTGCCCCAGAGTTGTAAAATATGCATCTACAATATACTCTTAAACTCCTAGAAATGTAATTACTGGGTTAAAAGATGAAGCATTGAAAAGGTGTTTGACACTGTGTCCTGCATTCCACGTAAGAAGGTTGTGCTAAATTAATAGAGGAACCGACTCCTAGGAGGATGAGCAGCTCCAAACAGTGTGCAACTCATCTCCATCAGGTAGTGAGAAAGCAGACACACCTCCTCAGGGTCAGGGAGACCACAATCCTAGATACAGCAACGGTACTCGGATAGGGGTGTGAACAGGATGGAGGGGAGGGCACTGGAAGATATCACGTGACTTACTTTGACAGGCCTTCTTGAAGAATGACTTCAAAATTCTCTGAGTGGCAGAAGACACTTGCAAGAGAGAAGTGTGTCTTCCTGGCAGGAATGCTTCTTTTGTAAATGCCAACTACCAGCCCCCAAAGCTTAGGAACTAGGGATTTTCTTGCAATGGATTTTTTTTTTTTGGGTAAATTTTATATTCTATGCTCAGCTAATACATATATTCTACATTCTCTATACCCAAGGATGGTTAGTCAGTACTTCAAAAGCTATACTATTTTTTTCATATTTAAGTTAGAAATTAAAATTTGCTAATCCTACTTGAAAACTCATATTTTGCACTAAAGTTTCATAAAAAATAGAGAGCATCAAGTAAGGAGACAGTACTCGTCACTCAGCCAGACTCGGAGCCAACAGAACAGTAAGTGAGCTACGGAACCTGCCTTGAGAGAACCAACGTTCCAGACTCTAGAGTCAACTTAACTTACCCATAATCTACTTTCATGTGCTGCCCATTGAAGAAGAACACAGTAGATGGAATGTAGCTGATGTCAAAGTACTGCGTGTAGACTGGCGTGTGGTCCACATCTACCAGGTATACAGCAGCCATTTTACTTAAGTTGGCAGAAGTCTTCGAGAGCTGTGAACGACAAGATGGATGCCAGGAGCATGCTGCTTCTTTTGTGAAATGTACTATAATATTGTATGTGAAACTTACTATAACATTTTTTTTTTTTTGAGAAAAATTTTGTTTGAGAAAATACCTAAACCAAGAATGAAGCCCATTTGAATTCCTCATAAGACACAATCCTGGAACTTGCTATGTAGACCAGGCTGGCCTTGAACTCACAGAGGTCTACCCGTCTCTGCCTCCCAAGTGCTGGGATTAAAAGTGTGCACTGCTATGCCCAGCTAGACATACTATTACTGTTCAGAGGGTGGATCCCTGTTGATAGGGTCAGGAGAAGGCACTGTGTAGTTGTTTGAATGAGAATGGCCCCCATGGGCTCATATATTTGAATACTTGGGTTCCCAGTTGGTAGAAATGTTTGAGAAGGATTAGGAGGTGTGGCCTTGTTGGAGGAGATGTGTCATCCCAGTTAGCTTTCTATGTCTTTTGCTTGTGTTAAGATGTGAGCTCTCAGACACTTCTCTAACATCATGTCTGCCTGCCTGCTGCCATGCTCCCTGCCATGATGGTCATAGATTCCAACCCTCTAAAACTATGAGCCCCAAATA